TTCCTAAATTTTTTTCTAACTTATTTTTTTGTGATTTAGGCTGATGGGATCGAGCGGATCAAAGATATGACCACCGGGAGACTTGAGCTGGGCAATGAAGATGTGAGCTTCATCAGGAGGATGGCAAACAGTCTTCTTGGCTGTATCAGAGCTCAGGGTCGGAATCATCGTAGATATCCGCCCATGCCCGCACCCCCGCCACCTCCAATACAAGTTGATGTCCCTGATCCCCCACCACCATATGAGAGAAAGAAGAGCAAGAGGGTTCGGGAAAAGCCCAACGTGCCCGACGTAACGCCATATCAGGGGTGGAAAGTGCCTGCCCGAGTTCCCCCCAAGGTGCCGGCCCGAGTTCCTCCCAAACTCCCCGCCAAGGCTCATACTACGATCCCCGCTCGACCTACCATCAAACCCCTCCGAGTCCCACCCCGATCTCATACAACGATCCCCGCCAAGGAGCATACTACGATTCCCGCCCGGTCTACCCCCCATCTCCTGGCCAAGGATCATACTACGATTCCCTCCCGGTCTACCCCCCATCTCCCCGCCAAACATCATCGGGTACTTGGCATGATGGTTCCTCCATGACGGCGCACCACGAATTCAACCCATTGACTCGCCCTCATCAGTAGTGGCCTCCTACTCCTCACCGTATGAGCGCGGATGTCCCCTACTCGACCCCGAAAGTGTCGATTCCCCGCCGACACAGCACCGACGAGCGCCACACTACCTCGGCCCGAGTTTGAAACTTGCCACCACAACCACCTGTTGTTACTCCTGTAAGAAAACCGTGGGTTCCGGTAAAGCTCGTGGACTTCCTTGAGTTATATTTTGAGTTGAATTTAATTTTATGTACTTGGAACTATTCCTATTCTCTTAGTTTATCGAATTGAGTGTTTTTTCAATTTGGTTTTTATTTCAATAAACAAAGAACTATTCATATTATCTTAGTTTATTTAATTGAGTGTTGTTTCAATTTGGTTTTATTTCTATGCCCTTGGAACTATTCCTCTTATCTTGATATAATCCCAATTCGTTCAATCAACAATACACAATTACTTGCAAAGTAAGAGTCTCAACTAGCTTGAAAAAAATGATAAAAGCAAACTATGTCGCATTAGCTGAGTCCGGCACATCAGCACCCTGATTTTGCGGACCAATCGGTCCTGGACACCTTCGTTTATCATGTCCTGGAACTTTGCATATTGAACATCGTCTTGGGCCTCGCGGTGGTCTTCCACTTTGATCCATTTCGTTATGAATTCTCTTTTTCCACGGGTGACCCGGTTCACGCCTCTGTCCGAACGGCGGGATGATCAATTTTCCTTCGTATAGTGGCTAATAAGGCAATGCACGGAAACTCCGTCCATAGGTGTTTTTGAGCGGCCAATAAGCTTCTCTGTTTGGATATCGGTACACCATACGATCAACTCTTCTCGTGCCATCCATGCAAGTAACATTAGTGCACATTTGATGGAGGTTTTCAAGCAGCGGTCTGGTAGCGACCTTTATCTTCTGAAAATTGCCACCGACGTAGGTGACCCCCTTTCCAGTCTCTTCCGTTTAACCATTACACCGTAAGCCAAGCGTGTACTTTTGGAATGCCATCTGCAAAAAAATCGTAGCTTAGTTAATATCATAAAAATCAAAAATAAAAAATAACAATAAAAAGTAATACAAAATAAACTTACTAGTTAACGTTAATCGCAAAACTACTAAAGAAATATAGAGCTACAACAGAAAATGTAAAAGGGAGAAGAGAGGTGTGAAGAGAAGTGGTTTTCTGTGAAGTCTTTTATAGGCAAAATCACTGATGAATACCACACCTTAGAGGTGTGGTTTTCGTCTGACATGCAGACCCACGTCTATTATTCTGCATGGCATGTCGAAAATTAATTGACTAAAACCGCACCTTGGGGATGCGGTTTGTATGGCAAAACCACACCTTGGGGATGCAGTTTTGTTTTAGAGAAACAAACCGCATCTCCAAAGTGCGGTTTTGCTAGGTCAGGTCAAAACCGCACCTTAGAGGTGCGGTCCATAAAAAATGGTGCTATTAGTGTAATTTTTTTCGGCTGGGTGCTATTTTTGTACTTTTTTTAAAAAGGTGCTATTTCTGGAAAAATCCCAAGATTGGCAAGGAAGAATGGATGAAGAGAAGAGGGAAAATGAACCAGAACCCAGGGTTTCGATTATGAATAAATTGGTGGATTTTGGGCGGCTAAGGTAGAGTTTCAGGGGGTCTAAGAAGGGTTTGGCTCCATCCTCAATTCCTCTAGAGAAGAAGAACAAATTTATATAGAGAGAGAGAGAGAGCGGAAGAGTATGGGTATGAGAGGGGAAAGAAATGAGTGTTTCAATTTTCGGGGAACAACTAACAAGAATTGGGAGGGCCAATTGGCGGGCAAATTTTGCTGTTGGGAAATTTGTGGAGCCAAATTTTGAAGTGAAATTGAATTTTTGGAGCCTAAGGCAAATTTGGTTTCAAAGTAACTTTAGCGTTAAGGGAAATTTTGGAGCCAAAACAAATTTTGGAGTCAAAATAAATTATCTTTACACATTAAAGCAAATATTATAAAAAACTAAAAATTGACACATTGTTCACGGGAATCAACGGTGACTAACTATTAATCATGGGAAATGGAAACTAAAAAACGAAAAAATTAGTTCCCCTGACTAGAATTGTATAACTAATTACGGTAACTTTTCCTGTGACTTTTAGTGTACTTCTTAATAGGGGAAAAAATATTGTGAATAAGATCTTGTGACTAGAAACTAGTTCTCTTGTAGTGAATGTTAGAGGTCCAGATCAGAGTTGGGGAAGACAGAAGGAAATTCTCATTTGCTTAATGGATTTGGTGATTGATTTGGATTCGTCATGGGCATTGTCCAAACTTTATTGTTTGTTTCATGTATAAGGTAGGGGTAGGCATCCGGTTCAGTAAACCCAAACTGAACCGGATCGAAATACTACTATTCGGTTCGGAAATCGGAAGGGAAATCTGGATAGTTCGGAAATCAGGGTTCTTTCAACTGAATCGAGATTCCAAATTTCCGACCGAAAAACCGTAATATATTAAATATGCCCAAAACCCATCCCTATTCCCCCAACACCCAAGCCCAAATGAAACCCACTTAGCCCAAATGAAACCTAACCCACTAAGCTCAACCAAAACCCTAACTCCAACAGCCCACTCCCCTCTCCCCTCTAGCCTCTCAACCCTCGCCTCTCACCTTTCTCAGCAACTGCCATCCGCCAGCCAACCTTCTCCAACCATCACACGATTTCGCTTCATCAAATCCAGTGACCAGTGGCGGCCTGAGGGGCCATCTCCAACCTGCCTCCCTTCAATAGCTTTGCCGAACAACTAGTGAGGAAGACTCTCTGAGTCCTGGCTTTGCATGTGGTGGGGCTCATGAAGGCCTGTAGTGCTCTGGGTATGATAGGTAGAGGATGATGGTCGAGATTGGGGGAATCGGGGAGTTGTGGAGAAGAGACGATGGTCGTCGGTCGAGTTGGGGGAGTCTGGGAGAGAGGGAGATGAGAGGATGGTTGAGTTGAGAGGGAGATGTGACGATTGTAGAGTAAGAGTTGGGGGAGTCGGAGATCGAGGGAGAGACTGGAGAGGGATGTTGGAGATCGAGGTCTGAGGGAGAGAGAGGAGAAGCCAGAGCAGGAGAGAGGATTCGTGGCGGCTCTGAAGTGTGACCCTAAACCCTAAGGAAAGGGGGAAAGTAAAGAAAACGAGGAGGCGCTGGTGCTAGATGATAATCTTTCGGTTTGGGGTTTTGAAACTGAACAGAACCAGAATACAATTCGTTTAAGCCAAACCGAATCGAATTATATTTTGGTTCGAACTTGGTTTGACCTATGGGATAAGTCGAAAACCCGGTATGCTCCATTTCGGTCGGTTTGAACCAAACCGAAATGATGCCCACCCCTAGTATAAGGGAAACAAATCTGTGGGTCTACATTCTTCGAGGCGGGTCATAATCTGTGGCCCCACGGACTTGAAAATCCCATCCTTTAAGGTGGGAGTTGGTCATGAGCTTGAAATCTATCATTTATGGTCAACCTACTCCTCATATTTCTTTTCTCTTCTTGTACCAATGAAGACAATAATGAGGGCAATAAGAACAATTTCATTTCATATATACAAATCTAATTAACAACTCCATCATGAAATTCATGAAACAAACAATTGTGTTTTTAAGTCTATAATGAATCCAAAAGTAGCGTGTATCCATGGTTTTTCAAAGCTCAAGTTTTAACAAAATCTTCATTTTTCAAATCCATAATTCATAAGTGTACGTCACAGTGTTTTTCAGTTTTCGAGCTTTTATACGTGGATAGGGAGAAGAGTGTCGATTGATTTGGCCATCTTACCTCCTAAAGTCGTAACTCTTCCTCACGGCTGGAAAGTTGGAACGACAGTCTAGAGTTTATGTCAAAGAATTACAGTTACAAAATAATAAACTTGTTAGACTCTATTTTAAACAATCCTACGAGTTGAAATCTCTAGATTCATTAATATTATCACAGAATTTAGATTCCAATTCTCAAAACTAGCTACCTCAATAGAATTAAGGGTTAATACCTTGTTTTGGCCCCAACTATGACCATATAATCAACTTTGGCCGGTGGTTTGGAAAATTAACATCATGGCCCGAACTTTGCAGTATATAGACTCATTTGGCCAGAAACGTGGTTTGACCGTTTGTTTAGACGGTCAACTCCGTTGACCGCTAGTCAACTGTCCAGGTCACCGCTATGTCAGCAATCAAAGTAATAAAAAATTACAATTACAATTTTATTTTCTTATTTCCTGTACCTAATTAAATAAAAATTAAAAATTCGGCCACCCATCTCCACCTTATCCCCTCGCCTCTTTCCTTCTTTGTGCAAAACCCAAAAAATCCCTAACCCTAATCAGCGGATTGATTTTTCCTTGTGATTTTATCTTGCTTGTGATTTCATCTTCCTTTTCACCCAAATAAGCTTATTGATTTTTCCCGATCGAGATGGAAAACAATGACTCTAACGACTCTTCCATCACTGTCTCTGCATCAAAACCTTCAATATGTTCTTCTTCAATCGAAGAACGTGGTGCAACATTTGCTTTCGATTCTCCGTCCCCGTTTGGGTGCTCTTCCATTTCCCCACCAAGCTTTTGCACATTGCCAACTTCCTCTGCGTGTAGCGAAACCTTGGTTTCAAAAGTGGCCCAATTTATGGCATTGCAACTTTCTCGTGTGTCCTTCTCAACCTTCCCCCTAAGAAGAGCAATGTCATAACAGGTCAATGGAAACAAGCATTAAAAAAGAAGAGAAAAGTTTGAATCTCATATCTACAGAGAAACGACAGCTTACTTGGATTCAGGGGAGACATGGTGATTGATGGGTTGTTCATGAAGAATGGGTTCCTTTGTGGGAATCTCAATCTTCTGTAGCCGAGTTCCTCCATGGCCGGGTTTGTCGCTTTGGAGGGGGAGAACAGAGGAATCAAAACTGTAGGCAAAAAGTGAAGATTAGGGAAGCTATTGTGGAGGCAAAGAGAAAGGACTTACAGGTTGGGTAGAGGGAGAAGAAACATCGGGCAACAGCGCGATATTGATTGAGCTTTCGGGGGAGAAGGGAAAAGAAGAATGGTTGGGTTTAGGGATTTTTGGATGTTGCCCGAAGAAGGAAAGATGCGAGGGGATAAGGTGGAGATGGGTGGCCGATTTTTCCCCCTATTTTTTGAATTAGGTACAGGAAATAAGAAAATAAAATTGAAATTAGAATTTTTTATTACTTTAGTTGCTGATATGGCGGTGACCTGGACAGTTGACTAACGGTCAACTCCGTTGACCGTCCAAACAAACGGTCAAACCACGCTTCTGGCCAAATATGAGTATATATGCTACAAAGTTCGGGCCAGGATGTTAATTTCCCAAACCACGTGCCAAAGTTGATTATATGGTCATAGTTGGGGCCAAAATAAGGTATTAACCCTAGAATTAAATCAAAATATCAAATACCTATTCACAAAGGTAGTAACTTGAAACTCAAAGAAGTATGGCATAAGGACTATTTAATAAAAGATTTGGGGGTTGTTTGGATGCATGATTTTAATTTGACAGATTTAAGAGAGATTTGAACTCAAATCTCTTGTTTTAAAAACCTAGATTTTCTACATCACGAATTTTAATGAAATAACTTGTTTGGAAGTAATCCTAGGATTTTAATATAAGAATTGAAAAGACAATAGTGTCCTCCTTCCCATCTTCCTCTTCCTCTGCCAACTTTGCTCTCCTTTCTCCACTAGACGATCGAACCACCAAAATTGACAAAACCCACCTGATTGATGGGATGCTGCGGTAAAATATCACCAAAACCTAATTGAAAAATGAAAGAATGACACAATCAGGATAAAGTTTTCGCATACTAGGCATAATGGAAAACTTTTGCAAGGAAGAATATCACCAACCTGCATGATTTAGGTGGAGCCAACGATCAATCCATAAAAGACCCGGTGATCTCGTCATCCAGCGTCCCTCAGGGCCGTCGCCCTCGCCAGTCCTCATCAATTGACATCCTTGCCATTTGCCGACATCATCTTTGAAAATGGAGGAAATAGAAGTCGATATGTGCGCGACCGTGACCTGTGCAACATCGGGGAGATTGGGCGATTTTCGAGTTTCCGACCGCTCCCGTGGACCTGGGCGACTTCAAGGAGAGAGGTCGATGGCGAGATTGGGCGACAATAGGGAGAGAGAGCGACGGCGGCAAGGTTTGACCGGCGGTGAGGGTGGGTGAAGAGAACGAAGAGGGTGTGTTGTGGGTGAAGGATAAGTTTGGAATTCCCAAACGTGTTATTTTATTAAAATTCTTCATTGTGTGGGATTGTCTTAAAATCCTGCACCACAATCCTACGACATTCCCTCATCCAAACGACCCCCTTGAGCGTAACATCCGGCCAAGTAATGAGGTCTAGGTCGTAACAATTCCAAGGCCACGACAGAAGAAAGAAGGTTCAGATTGAGTGCTAGGGTTAGGTATATACGGTTACGTTCGTAATTCCATTTGTTAGGAATGAACATTATCTGTGCACATGCGATGATATTTGTAATATGTCTCACGAATGGGTGTTCCACAAGGTTGTCAACCCGCGGGTCAACCCGGGTTGGTCTGGACCCACTTTTTAAAACGAGTTATAGCAATCCTTTTCACTATCAGCCCGAAACTGGTCAAATCCGCTGAAATCCGGTCAAACCCGGGTGGTTAGCCCGTCAAACCAGGCCAGCGGGTTGCTCCATCTGCCCACCGTTTTGGGGTTGTGCGGAGGCGTTCTATGGCTCTGCTGGGGAGAAGGCGAGAAGCAAAGAGAGCAAGAAACCCTACCACTCGTCCATCACCTTCATTCACTCCCGCAGTCCAGCAGCCGCTCGAGGTCCCTTCATCGGCGGCGCGCTCGAGGTCATCAGAGAGAGTCGACCTTCTCAGCTTGGCCGCCACCTACCTCCGATCTCCCTCCCTCTGCCTCGTCCCCTCGGCCGTACTCCTTCTCCCCAGCCTCGAGATCAATCGCCCATGCCTCCCTCTTCTCCTCCGGTTGGCTCCCTTTGTATCCACACTCCCCCAGCAATGAATTCGGGGATCAACTAGCTTGAAATTGGATGGGGGTTGATGATAGGTCAGCCAATTTGTTTGGTTGGGCTTTGCGTTTGATCAGGAATTAGTGAACTTGGAAAGTAAAATCAGTGGAGGGGAATGAAAAGAGAAAGCGAGTAGAATTGACAGAGAAATTGGATGGTGGTGAAGATGCAGATGATGAAGGATTGAAGGAAAAATGAACGAGAACAGAGGAAGGGAAGATGATAAGGTGTGGGGGTGTGGCACATCACAACACATCGTCGCAATAATAATATTGATTAAATTAAATTAAGTTTTTTCCCAATTTTTGGTGGTTTTGGTTTTAATAGATTTTATTTAAGTGCATTGGAGGGGAGAAAAGCGCGGAAGCGCCGGGTACCACTCATATTTGGCTTTTGGTGAAGCCATGCCACTTAAGTTGATTTGGTGCATCGAATACCACTTAAGTCCGGCTAAAGTGAGTCTGTCCATATTTCCGTCCAGCTTACTAACGGTACGATTTAAATATTATTTTTTTGACACCTCAGCCTTGCCACATGGTCTGAAATTGCTGAGTCACATGATATTTTGACACATCACCCCAATACTTCCCTTTGGAACACTAACGAGAGAGAAAAATCAAAAATAAAAAATCAATTTAAAACTGAACGGAGAGACTCTGCCCCACCATACCTCCACTAAAACCCTTTTCCTTACTGTCTCCTCCAAATATCAACCAAATTTGGCCGCTTTACTGTCTCTTGATCACCCCTGCATTTTGGCCGCCGACAACAAAGAGGGATAAGCCGCCAAGCAAAAGATAGTTCTTTGGTTGGCCAAGCCCTTTTCTAGTATGGCTCCATTACTCAGAAGATCGGAAAACCTAGCTGATTTACCATTGTATGGTAATTGTTCTCCCTTTTATGCTATCAAATGGCATGCTGATGGTCTTTTTAGGAAAAATCTTTGGGCTAATACCACTACAACACCTGAACTATCCGAAAAATGCCACTTGTGTCCTATTCTTTTCAATATTCCATTTATGTCCTTTCGTATGTTCTTTTTTGTCATTTGTGTCTTCCCGATTTTGTTGACCGTTAAAGATAACGATTGACCAAACGGAGGTCAAATTGTTGTTGACTTTTGCTGACATGGCAAACTATGTGACATCCACGTAGGCGCCATGTCATTGCCACATCTTTTACTCAAAACTATAATAAAATTAAATTATGAAAATAAAAAATGATAACTTTTAAATTTAACAATATTACTAAAAAATGTTTTAAACGTCCAAAATTGACAAAAACAAAAAAAAGTTCATCTCCTTCACCCGATACTCCGGCTCCTCCCACTCCGGATCATCCAACAAGGACCCCCACCGACTACTACTGGTGCGATGACGGCGCCGTCAGCAGGGGAATTGATTCCCCTCACCTCTCCTCTCCTTTCCCAGACCCGCCGCCTCCCCTCCCTCCATCTCTCGTCAATCATCATTCATCATCAATAATGCCCCCTTATCTAAAAACCCAGACTGAGATGGATTGTAGATCTGGATTCTGGATTCGAATTCTGATTCCGAGCAGCCGCTGTCGTGTTGTACCTTGAATCCGCAGCCCCAAATTAAACTGAACTTCCTCTTCCATGCCCCAATCCGTCGACGCCTCACCTAACCACAACCGCAACCATTTTCCTCACTCCCCCAACTCCAATAGTCTCCCTCGCCGAAGCACTCACTTGCTTTCGCCGCTGCCATAACGGGTGGTGACTGCGACACCAGATCGACGCTGGAGAAGAGATGGCAGAGCACGACAATGGAGGGAAAGAGATGGTGATGGTAGGGTCGATCTGGAGTAGAGAAGTAGGGTAGCCAGTGAATCGTCGATCTGGAGAAGAGAATCGGTTGCGGCCACAATCTTCGTCCTCCCAACGGACTGCTTCATTGGCGGTGTCCGCAAGAGCAGAGATGAAGCGTCACGGACGAATCTAGGTTCGACGCAATCATTGACCTATTCCTCTGTTGCCGCCGGTAGGAACAGATTTGACATCATCGGCGTCTTCGAATCACCGACGTCTTCGCAAGATCCCTGACCTCGATCGGGTGGATTTCCTCCCGCACAAGTGCCTGCTGCTATCCTCTCTTATGGCGATCCGGAAAGATTTAATCGGAGAAACAGAAAGAAGAAGAAGCTAGACGTTGGTAAAAAATCACTTGAGTTATTGTTTTATTTTTGTAATTTTCCATAATTTTTATTTTGTTTTCCTTATTTTAATTATTTTATATGAAAAAATAAATGAAAATTGATAATAAAAATTCCACGTCAGATGCCACGTCAACGATGGTTGGATTTTCTGTTAAATACTAACGGTCAACGCCGGTCAACACTAACGGAATAATAGTTCAAGACACAGATGGAATATTGGAAACAATAGGACACAAGTGGCATTTTTCGCATAGTTCGAGTGTTGTAGGGGTATTAGCCCAAAAACCTTTAAACTTTAGCAAAATTGGATTGCATGCATCCTATTTGTTGCTTGCTTTACGCGGAGATGGAGGAAGAAAAGAGCAAATATGTGGACCCAAGTTGCACCTCATGGAGTCGGGCCACAATGCTTTAGAATATGAAAACATATGTGGTTTCTTTGTTTGTTTGTGTAAGGTGGGAGTTCTTTATTGCTTATATATGGTTTTGTGATCCCTTTATAAAGTCTTTTTGTTTATAGATTTCCATCTTGTACTTTGATTGTCTCTTTTGTAATAGAATATGGCCGCTGAGTTTTAAACTGTGTCTTTATAGGGCTTTGCGATGAGTATATTACTATTGAGATGCATTATGATTGAGAAATCATTTACATTGAAGATGAAGGTGTCATTTATTTTAGCGGGAAAACACATTGTTGGGATTGGGTTGACCCAGATTGCTTGTCAATCCTTGAGTTGGATGGGTTACTTACTGATGTGGGATACTTGGAACAAGTTAAAATAAAGAATGTAGAAGAGTATAGGGTGGTAAAAGGGCGTTCATACTATTACAGAGTGAGTGGAGAGAGATTGAAAGAAGGATTGGTGGAGTTGAAGGATGATAAGGAGTTGTTAGCTATGAGTAGAGCAGTCATGGAAGATAAAAAATTTGTGGAGTTATATCTTATAAAGAGAACAGAGTTGGAAAGAGCTATATGTGAAGCAAAGGCTCGAGAATCAGGCTGTATTGCTCCACCAACAGCCTATAAGTATTCTAAATCACCTTCTCTTGTTAAGAAAAATAGGGATAAGCAAAGTTACCCTTCTAATAAAGTTCTCAGGCAAGAAATTGGAGAAGATTCTGAATATGATGCTGGTAGCGGGTTCATAGATGAAGAAAATGCATTTAGTGAGGATGATTTTGATGTGGAGGATTCTTATAGTGAAGGGGCGAGCCACAGTTTCCTCATTGATTATGAGGTTGCTGGAGATGTAGACACTGATTGTGGGGATTCAGACTACTTGGGTAGCGCCAATTCAAGCTGTGAAGAAGGGAAATCTATAAGAAGGTACGAAGAGTTCAATCCGACAAGAGATATCAAAGATCCTCATTTCAGTGAGGGGCAAATCTTCAGTGACTTCAAGACGTTCAAGGCAGATATTAGGACTTACTTAATAAAGAATAAGTTTCCATTAAGGTTTGCTTATAGTGACCCCCAACGAATTCAAGTTGTTTGTGACAAGAACTGCAAATGGAAGATTTGGGCATCACCTACAACAGATAAGAAGGCACTACAGGTTAAGTCTTTGGAGCTGAATCATGATGGATGTGTTTTTCTATCTAGGCACAAGTGGTTTGATAACAAGTTCATCGCAAACAAGTATTTTCTCAGGTTTGAAGTTGACCCCAAAATGGGGGAATGAGGCAATAATGCAAACTGTGGAAGAAGATTTTCATTATATCATATCAAGATGGACAATATCAAGGGCAAGACGGTATGCATTAGAGAAAATAAGAGGGAGGGCAGAAGATCAATATTGGCGGCTTCATGACTATTGTGGTGAGGTTTATCAAACCCATCCTGGTTCGACCATATTTGTTGAAACTGAAGAGAACAACTTTCGTAGAATGTACTGTTGCTTTGGGTCATGCAAGGAAGGTTTTGCAGCAGGTTGTAGAAACATTATTTTCCTAGACGATTGCTTCTTGAAGACGCTTCATGGCGGACAATTTCTTTCGGTTGTTGGCATCGATGCCAATAATGGAATTTTTCCTATAGCTTATGCTATGGTAGGGGTGGAGAATGAAGACAACTGGACATGGTTTCTTGCACATGTTATTTCGGATTTGAAGATGCCACAATTTAGTGACAAATGGACATTCATGTCCGATAAACAGAAGGCAAGTACCAATTTGTTTTAAAAGGGTTATTCATTATGGGAATTGTCAAATTTAGCTACTGTCTTTTGTTTTACTTTGGCACCTCACCCTTTATAAATCAGCTTCATGACCAACTTGTTATATCTTAACCATTTTTTATACTTTTTGTTATTGCCCTATATTCTGGAATTTGAAAATGACAAATTTAGTTGCTTTACTTTGCTGCACTTTTTATTAACACACGTAATCTATGGGTTGTAATTTTTGTTTCCAATTTTGTAGGGGCTGGTCAATGCTCTAAACACACTGGTTCCATATGCAGAGCATCGATACTGTGTGAGACATCTTTGGTCGAATTTACAACGAGCTCAAGGAGGTAACAAAACCACTAAAGACTTATTATGGGCTGCTGCTAGATCATCATATCAGGCTGAGTTTGACAAATGTATGTTTGAGCTTAAGGTGTATAATGAACAAGCATATAAGTGGTTAATGGAAAATCCTGCATCACAATGGTGTCGAGCATACTTCTCTACCAATTGCAAGACCGATGTATTGTTGAACAATCAGGCTGAGTCTTGGAATAGGAGCATATTTGGTGCCAGGATGAAGCCGATCATAAGTATGTTTGAAACTATAAGATGTCAGCTAATGACCAGGTTTCCTAAGAAGAAAGAATTTGCTGAGAACAACTTTAGAGACCAGTTCTTCCCAAAAATCCTCCAGAAGGTGAAGGCTGCTAAGGATGCCAGTTTTGGTTGTGCAACTCTACCTAGTGGTTCTAATACTTCCAGATAAGATATCTTGAGGGGCAGGTTGTTGTAGATTTGAACAAACGTACGTGTACGTTTAGGAAGTGGGAGTTGATTGGCATACCTTGTCCTCATGCTGTTTGTGCCATATTTTCCAAGCATGAGAAGGTTGAGCCATATGTGGATAAATGCTATGAGGTGGCCACTTACATA